ACACCATGGGCCATAAGGCAGCCCATGGTCCCTCCAGGAGAAAGACTCTGGAAGCCTTGCCCTTGAAGACAAGGAAGACGGAGTCGTGGAGGACTCCTCTCCACAACGTAACCGACTTGGAATCATGTAAACCTAGGGCCTTGGTATCTTATACAAGTTGGAGATGCGCTTGTCGATAGAGCATGTACACCCAATGGCAACATACATAGAGTAAGAGTAGGATTTTACCTCTATCGGAGGGCCCGAACCGGGCTAAACTCGTATCCTTGTTTCCTCTCTGACCTAGTCACCACGTTGGCATACCTTACCGAGGGATCTACCAGGATCATCTCCGACAGTGCTAGTGGTGGGTAATTTTCTGCCAACTCCACGTGGACTTTTTGAACAAGAAGTTTTTGAAGCACACGATGGAGGCACAACACTGCTCCTGGCCACATCCACACATTCCTTACGCCCCCGCACCTCAATCAATCCTCCATGATCTGCGAAAGTCGAAACACCTTCACCGTACATGAGACCACAGTCTTGAACTACCACTGACTTGAGGCGGGGCCTCGGAGTAGAGGAAGACGAAACAATAGCTCCTCCCTGCAGTAGAAGTGGTCGCCCGCCACTAGCACTCGCACCAGGGTAGGACCCCGCCGTGGGAGTCTGCGAAGACGCCCCACAACAGTCACTCCTGACCTCCCCATCACCTCCACCTTGGTCGCACCAGCCCAAGTCTTTTGCAACTCTAATCGTGGTTGTAAGCTCCCGAATCTAAAGGCCCGATGGCTTTCCAGGGACTACCCCTCGTCCTCCGCTTTATTTGAGCTCCAGGAGAGCCTCTCCGAAGAAATTGACCTAGGGGAAGGGAAGATCTAGCGGGGAGGGGGGCTAATTAACTTGGGTGGAAGGGGAGGGGTTGGCGGTGGTATTACCGATGATGTTGAGCTGCGGCTACGTTGCTAGCCCAGCCGCCAGTGGGGGGTCGAGACAAGTTGGCATGAGCCCAACCACCAGTGGAGGGTCGAGACGAGGTGGCATGAGCCAAGCGGTGGCTAGTAGTGCACACATTTTCTGAATTTGTTTCAGTCTTTCTGACGATGTTCGTTCAACGGCAGGAGACGTTCCCATTGATAAAGTGGTGATTATGGTGACTGTTATGTCGGCTCAGTATCTCGATGGTGTTCATAGGAGTAGGTTGCGCGTGCGTGTGTCTAAGTGTATGTACATGTACGTGAGTATCTACGTTTGCAGTGTGCCCGTGTGTTAAGAAAACAAGCAGGCACAACTTCGATTCTCCACACATGCGATCGTGGCGATTGATTCCATGGTTTTCGGATCGTGCACCGCTAGGACAGGGGGCGGGCGAGCGGTTCTGCGGCAATCGGTGGCTCCTAATCCACTTTTAACGCCAGCGTGACTGACCAGAGAGCGAGCACACACGGTTTACATTCCATGTTTTGTGCGGATCAAATCTGACCAGGCGCATCTGTTATAACCGAGTCAGCACTCTCGTTTACCCCTCCCTTATCCAACCGCATGCATGCATCTGCATATATATACACTCCAGCTGATCCTTCTCTTTTATCCACTCACGGCCATACTTCAGTTGGTTACTCGGCCAGAGAGAGATACAGATCATCGACATGGCAGGGGGGTTCGTCGCTGCAGACGGCAAGACTGGCCACCGGCAGTTCAAAGGGAAAATCACATGGTACGTTTGGATCTGTGGCATCATCGCCGCCACCTGCGGGCTGATGTTCGGCTACGACATTGGTATCTCAGGTATGTACGAGCTCCCGTGATCTGATTTGGTGTGGAGAATGGCAAACATAGCGGCGCGTGGGGTTGATGGCATTGATGACGCTGGTGCATGCATGAGCAGGGGGTGTGACGGCCATGGACGACTTCCTGGTGCGGTTCTTCCCGACGGTGTACGCGCGGAAGCACCGCGCCAAGGAGAACAACTACTGCAAGTTCGACGACCAGCGGCTGCAGCTCTTCACGTCGTCGCTCTACCTGGCCGCGCTCGTCACCAGCCTCGGGGCGTCCTTGGCGTGCACGCGCTTCGGCCGCAAGCGCACCATGCAGGCCGCCTCCGTCTTCTTCCTCATCGGCGCCGGGCTCTGCGCGGGCGCCGTCAACATCGCCATGCTCATCATCGGCCGCATCTCCCTCGGCATCGGCGTCGGCTTCGGCAACCAGGCGGCGCCGCTCTTCCTCTCCGAGATCGCGCCGGCGCACATCCGCGGGGCGCTCAACATCCTCTTCCAGCTCAACGTCACCATCGGGATCCTCGTCGCCAACATCGTCAACTACTACACGTCCAACATCCACCCGGTCGGCTGGAGATACTCGCTCGGCGGTGCGGCGGTCCCGGCGGCGATACTGTTCCTCGGGTCGCTCGTCATCACCGAGACGCCGACGAGCCTCGTGGAGCGCGGGCACCGCGTGGCCGGCCGTGCCATGCTGGAGAGGATCCGCGGCACTAAGGAGGTGGACGAAGAGTTCGACGAGATCAACTCCGCGTGCGAGACGGCGGCCGCCTTGTGCGCGGAGGAGAAGCCGTTCCGGCGGCTCAGGCGCCGGGAGAGCCGGCCGCCGCTGGTGATCGCCATCCTCATGCAGGTGTTCCAGCAGTTCACGGGCATCAACGCCATCATGTTCTACGCGCCGGTGCTGTTCCAGACCATGGGCTTCGAGAGCAACGCCTCCCTCCTCTCCGCCGTCGTGACCGGCGGCGTCAACGTCATCTCCACACTGGTGTCCATCATCCTCGTCGACAAGATCGGCCGCCGCAAGCTACTCCTCGAGGCCTGCGTCCAAATGCTCATCGCCCAGGTCCGTCCACTAACTAATCAATCACCTGAAAATCCCACGTCATTCACATCTGAAGCCCATCTGAAATTATGACGATGGATGATCCGTTGCCCTGCAGGTGACGGTGGGAGGGATCATGTGGGTGCAAGTGAAAGACAACAACAACCCTAGCCACTCGTGGGCGCTGGCCATCGTGGTGCTGATATGCGTCTACGTGTCGAGCTTCGCGTGGTCGTGGGGCCCCATGGGGTGGCTCATCCCGTCGGAGACGTTCCCGCTGGCGACGCGGACGGCGGGGTTCTCCTGCGCGGTGAGCGCCAACATGTTCTTCACCTTCGTCATCGCGCAGGCGTTCCTGTCCATGATGTGCACCATGCGGGCCTTCATCTTCTTCTTCTTCGCCATCTGCATCGTCATCATGGGGCTCTTCGTCCTCACGCTGCTGCCGGAGACCAAGGGCGTGCCCATCGACGAGATGGCCGACAGGGTGTGGCGGCGGCACTGGTTCTGGAAGAGGTTCTTCGGCGACGCCGATGAGGCCAGGATTAATAACTGCTAGCCGGCTGATGATGACGATAATGGCTGTGTCAAGTGAAGTCCCACAAGCCTTGCTTCCAAGCGACATCACGAAAACTGAGCACCTTTTTTAATTTTATTTTTGATTCGACGAGAAGTGATGAACAGTGTGTGATGTGGCATACTGACTAGAGTAGGTACATAGCAATTCAAAACGGAAATCCTAAAAATCCGACATCAGATTTTAGGCATGGCAAATCGAAAGTTTTCATGCCAATTTATGTTGTCGCAGGAATAGCAATTTTCTACTCCCTTCGTTCCTAAATATTTGTCTTTCTAGAGGTTTCAACAAACGACTACATACGGAGCAAAATGAGTGAATCTATACTCTAAAATATGTCTATATACATCCGTATGTGGTAACCATTTGAAATCTCTAAAAAGACAAATATTTAGGAAAGGAGGGAATAGTTAAAAAATGAGCTAAGCCGGATTTTTCATGCTCGCCTGCAAATTTGTCATCGTCGGCAAACATAAATGAAAATATGTTTAATTTGACATTACTATTGAAAACAGGGTATAGCTAGATCTCAGTCGACTACGATTTAACCAAAAAGAAAAAGAAAAATTGAATAGAAAAAAGTACACGGATCTCAATGCAAAATCTTACGGATATAGCAAAGTCTCAATAAACTTAGCAAGACAGTTTAAAATATCTCCTGTCACATGCACTGACAGTTCAGTTGATCATAGAGAGCCATGAGACATACAAATCTTCAGTAAACATCTGCTCATCTGAAGACATTTTCTACTTATAGTTTGTCCAACGTCAAATATTGTTATTTGTATCCGGTAGACCCGGGCCACACGTACATTAATTCAGTTACATCTCACTGCCAGCATGCACATGTGCATACGGTGCATGGATAACATATCATGCGTAAATCACGTTAATAATAAGTACTATCATCTGAAATCACAAAGACATGCAAGATCAAATTAACACTGCAGGCGAGGCATGCTTGCATGCATGCATGTATTGGTCGATCGATCTGTATTCTGTAGTTAGGGTTGGGGACCTGTTTGCTGATCGTCAGACGTAGCGCAGGGCGCAGCTGGTGGCGCGGCCGGCGCCGCAGCAGGCGGCGTCGGAGGAACTGATCCCGCCGGCGGCGGTGCATGTGCCTGCTGATCCGGTGGCGCCGCGGTGCTGGCAGCTCTTGCGGGCGATGTCGCGCATGGAGCTGGCGAGGGACAGCTTGGGGTTGAGGCGGACGGTGGAGTTGAAGCGCTGGCAGAGCGCGGCCGTGGCGTCGACGGCGGCGGCCATGGCGAGGTCGGGGTCCCGCTGCTGGCGCTCCTTGACGGCCTCGGCGCACAGCCCGCACACCCACTTGCCGTGGAAGTGCGCCCGGACGCGGCCGATGTAGGTGGGCGTGCACTCCTCCGCGATCCCGCAGCACTCGCACTGCACGCTCCGCGCCTCCCCCACCACCTCGCCCTGCACACGCATCGCCGTACGTACGTAGGTGCCGTCAGATGTTATCGCCATGCATGTCATGATCAAATTCGCGTACTCAGAGAAGTATCGTACTGCAGTGCAAGTGCATCCATGCATGCATGCATGCATCGATCCATGCAACACAAACGCACACGCTAACTGACTAACACAGCGACTATTTCATGGCAGTAAAAATACAAATTAATTAACACCCCGGTAACTACTAGTTACACACAAACACAAAGATCAATCCATGAATATATGCTACCGGTAGACAGGATTGAACCACGCACGTTTAAGATGAGAGAGATCATTGGTTAGTTAGTTACCTCAACGGGTCTAGCCAGGCGCCAAGGCATCGCGGCGAAGGGAGTCGCTAGCAGAGCAGTACTCTGGAACCTTCCTTCCTTGTGAAGCCAATCACCTCCGGTATATGACCTTCTAACTAAGTGGTTAGCTATCGAGATCGATCACCTGCGTGCGTCTGTGACTCTCTGTTCACATGCCAGTACATAGCTACCTGTAGGCCGGCCCTATTTATAGGCACGGGGCGTACGCTAGCCGGCCCCCTGCCCGCGCACACAGTAACAACTCCACCACCACCACACCATAGGTCACAAGAAAAACGCCGCCCTTGATCGAGATCATGCGTGGCTGGTTTTCCGGCGGACGCCAAAGGCCGGCCGAAGGGGGGCGAACCGGCCGGCCGGCCGGCTAGCTGGGCCGATCCACCAAATGTCCAGGTAAAAAGCAGCCCGCCATGAAAATATACATTCTAGAGCTTATTCCCTGCATTTACCCGAGGATATATGCATACATCCCGTGCATTTACCGGAAAGGAAAATACGGCCTAGATCTTCTTTTCAGCTGGCTAGCTGCTTGATGGCCGGGGCTGTCGAGGTCGCGACGCGTTGCACTGTTGCAGCACTGTTTTCTGAATGAGGTGTGCAGTGAGTGCAGACTGGTTTTGCACAGGAAAAAGAGGAAAATGGGCGGATTAGTTAGCGGCTGCCCGCCCGGAGATAACTTTACTTCATTTTCTTATCATCGCTTACCACTGTTGACTGGACTGGGGATGAGGACACTCTATCTAGCGGCGCCGCCTCCGTGTCGATCGCCCATTCATTCATCTATCCATGATGCGATCCACTCCCTGCAAGTAGTAGCGTATTTAGCTAGCAGCTAAAAGGTTATTTTCAGAGCAAGTGGTTGCAAGGCGACATCGAAAATGCACGTTAGTCCGGATCTTTTTTATCCCGGAATAGGAAGATGGCCTGAATCTTTACTAAGTTCTGTGATGTCAGGGCGGGGGTGTCAAGTTCGTCAGTCATGGGTCGATCTGTGTGCGCCTCATGCAAGCGCGGGTAGGGGCTGTCGAGGTCGCGCGCCTGTGAGCGGCTCACGGGATGAGCATCGGCCGCGTGATGTATCCATCGACGATCGATCTCGCCGTGACAGAGCTCCGTCGCCTAACCCGATCTCCGGCACAGGCAGGATCACCGGCGCTTTCCCCCTTTTTTCTCGGGCCCTCCCTCTTTTCGATCGAGCCGGTGATACGTAGTACGTGCGAATACGATAGGCTGTAGGTACGTCATTCGTTCGTAGGGTACGTAGTTCTCTAGACAGAGCCCCTGCAGCCTGCAGGTGTCAGTTACTACTCCCGTTCCATATTAAGGCCTCATTTGCTTCATAGGATAAAAAATCATAGAAATACAGAAGTCATAGAAAATGAGATGATACGTATCTCAAATCCTATGAGTAGGAATAAGAAAGATGATGCCTTTTAATTCATATTGTAATTTTTTTTCGTTGAGTCTAGACTAATATTTACTTTCCTATAAAATATGGAGGATAGGAAAAATTTCTTCATAGGAATATGATTCCATTCCTACAAACCAAAGAGCTCTAAAGGAATTTTGCCTACAGAAATTCTATTCTATGCAATTCCTATAAGATTCCTCTCAACCAAAGAAGGCCAAATGTCGATCAAATGGATGAGATGGTTTAAGTAGATTAGTGGTGTCGGTCGAGCTCAAGAGTGATGCCTTTTCTTGTATTTTTTCTTCTGCATGGCATCACCTAAGCCTTGGGATCACCTGAAACTTTCACTCTTCTGCATTCTGCACCACCGTGCGTGCGTACGCACATAGGTCCTGTATTCAGTGCGGAACATAGGGACTTCACAAGAGTTACGCCTCCGCTGTGATGTTCTGCGAAGCAACTGATAAATTCAATAATGATTCAGGGGGTCGGAGATCAGATCATGCATGTTTGCCGAGCTAACTTTAATGTGTGCAATCTATATATAGCATCTACCTAGAAGCTGAGGGCCATTCTACAGTAGTCAGACATGCGAAGTCTCTCTGGTTCGGACGTGACAAGCGTGACCGCAGCTTAATTTTGTGGTCCATGTCTCCATGACTTTTTTACAGAAAAAACATACTCCATCCGTCTCATAATGTGACGTTTTTTGAGTACATTATGGGACAAAGGATGTAGTATTTAGAAGTGTCAACAAAATAATTTAGTATGGGGCTAGGTGCGATTCAACTTTGGCAACACTCCAATATATACAATTCCTAACTTACAAGACTATCATCATTAGTCCAAGTGTTATTTTCCGAGGATTAGGCTATCATTAGAGAATAGTTGCGAATTGGATAAGTCACATGCACAGATATACTTTTGGAAGCACATGGACATCCAAAAAAGTTCAGAAAAAAGGCAAAACCACTTCCAAAAAAGCTTACAATGTTTCGAGTGACAGCCCATAGTATCTTTGAGTTGTTGTCCTAAATGTTGCTATCTAGGTGGATCCGGGAGATATTTTAGATATTTTAGACATTTTAGTCTCTGTAGTAATCAAGGCTAGATTGTGTTGAAACCGATAGTCAAGAACAAACGGAAATCTAGTAAAATTTAGAAAGACGTGGGTCATGCACAAAATCTTTCCTTTAGGTTACCTATATTTGTCGTGGTCATCTGTAGAACCTTTTCTTGCGCAAATATAAAAGCATTGAGAAATGTTCACGAGATGTAACATGCGATAGATACAAATAGCATGAACATACATGACAACAATAAAGATGTCTCAGCGACATAACTCATGTTTTAACGTATGAAACATATCATGAACATATATAAAGGTGGGAAGGACCACCGGTGCCACTACGCCACCCGCGGCATAGACGTGAAGTTTCATCAAATTCAGAGACAAGGGTCATGCACCAAACCTTTCATTTGAGTGACGTATATTTGCTGCAGTCATCTGCGGAACCTTTTCTTGCACAAGTATAAAGCATAGAAAATGTTCACGAGATGTACCATGTGATAGATACAAATAACATGAACATACATGACTACAATAAGGATATCTCAACAATATAGCTCATATTTTACCCTACGGAACATATCATGAACATATACAAAGGTGGGCAGGACCACCAGTGCCACTCCGCCACCGGCGCATAGAAGGGAGGTTTTGTCAAATTCAGATAGACAAGGGTTATGTACCAAACCTTTTATTTGAGTGACGTATATTTGTTGGGTCATTCGCCGAAACTTTTCTATGCGCAAATATTAAAGCATGAAGAAAATCGACAATAAGTATCATGTGATGGATACAAATATATCATCACTACACATGACTTCTATTTAACGTGCGGAACATACATAATGGCGTTGAGAAGGTTCACGAGACACACCATATGTTATAGGACAATTATTTCCTACTACCGGGTGTAGTTACTCCCACTTTTGTTTCGTATGTTATAGGTAGTATCTATCATATCGGAGAGTATGTACGCGTAGTATGTAGTATATAAGAATATTTAGGTAGTATATATACTGTTTTTTTGGTAGTATGTATCATATTTTGTGCATACTCCATTTTGTGTACAAATATGTACGTATTTCATAAATACAATAAAACTATGAGCTCACTTGCAAAAAAAATCATATAACTCACTTTGGAGTATCTTAGATATAGCATATGAACATATTAAAAATAATAAAGTAAAGTATATACTACCACATGATAGTCTATGAAAAATGGGTGTAGCTACACCAGGTGATAGGATGGATTTTCCCTATTCCCTATATATATGTTTATGCCCGAAAAAAACTGCACAATGAATAAAAAAGGTAGCTGTTTTTCTTTTCCTTTTTTGCAACTTGGAGGCAGAGGAATAAGAGATGCAAGGAAATGAGGTGCTCTTGTGTTGCTAAACCCAACCAATAAAAAAACATAAAGCCGTCCGCGCAAAAGAAACATAAAACCGTCTTGGAAGAAAACCGGCAAGTTTCCACTTTGCACACTGGGCCAGAAGGCAGTGGGCTGTGGAAACAAGGTGTCGGCCCAAAGTGCCTCTCCTCTCTCTTTGTTTAACGCTAGCTAGATATCTACGTGCAATGGCCTAGATATAGCCCAAATGTTTGGCACTGAAATCTCTGCGCCTGTCTGACTTAGAATAATTCCATCCCATATTTACGTGGGATGCGGCTCGTCTGACGTACGGCCCACACACTGACGTGTGGGCTCGGATCCACATGTCAGCGGCCCAATAGCGGAGGCGTACGTCAGGGGATCCGGCTCCTGTTACGTGTTGGTGAACTTTATTGTAACACAGTACAAGACTGAACGAATATCAACGAAAAATGTATGTGTGAGTGTCAAGTCTAGCACTTGAACCACGACGGGCTCGTAATCAAATTTATCAAAACATCTTAACTATGTTTAGTTCACATGTATCGCTGAACTTTTATCATCGGAGTAGTTAGTCGTATACGGGTGCTTTGCTCGGCGAAAGAAGAGTCCAGAAGCATGAACGCATTGCACCATCCATCGGCAAAGAAAAGAAGAAGAAGAGTCCAGAAGCATGCATGCATGATGCATGGCACTAACTCGCCCGTACAGCTCGCGGTACGGTGCATCACTACGTACGCCTGACCCAGTCAGTGGGGCGTATCTGAGACGCGACGCGTACGCGTACGCGCCACGCTCCAGGCAATCAATGGGGTTCACGCACCGAAGCACGGGAAAGATGGACCAT